TATATATATATATATATATATATGTATGTATATGGAAATATTGATGTTTATTTATGTGATTAAATTCTATTAAAATTCACATGCTAAACTTAATTCGATCCTTTTCACATTATTCAGATTAGAATTATTTCCATCAAGCAAAACAAATATTTAGTTATCCTAGCTAAAATCCTGAACATTAATGGTTGGGAAAAGATTAAATGAATCAGGCCAACTAGAAAGCAAGAGAGAGAGGAAAGAATACAGAATTGGAAAACTTGTGCTGTAGGAAAAATGAATATGATGGGAGGCAGTGTGGCTCTTTCCAGAAGAGACAGTGAGTATTTAGACTACACAATGAAAATGAGAGAGAGACATCAGAAACAATATGTATGAAATGGACATTTACATAAGGAAGAAGAATACTGAAGTTTTAACAACATGGATTATGACCTGAAAAGTCATCACATATCAGAGAAGTTCCCTTTAAGCATGAAGAAGATCATTGACCTTCCTCACATTTTCCTTATTTCCCCAAGATTCTCAAATTCTCATCATCAACTGAAACAGTAATTAATTCTGGCTCCTAAAAGTGAAAATACATCCTCTAGTCACTGGGTAGTATAAACAGCTAAAAGTTTGTAGTTGGAATTCACTCAGAGGAACCTTGGGAGACAGGCCTGGCAATCTGCTTCTGGAAGGTCACAGCCTTGAAGACTCTATGATTAGTTCTACTCTGCACTCACAGGGTCACCCTGAGTCAGAATTAACTCTATGGCAATTAACAACAACAACAACAGGTTCTCTCCACACACAAAAGTGATTCTGGTTTTGCTGCAACTTTTCTGGGGAAGAAGAGAGTCTCATGATACTTAGAAACCCAGCAGCAACACAGGGCCTAAATCTTGAGATTAATTTAACAGATGAAGAAAATATCTTAATTCAAGTCAAGAAGTATTTTTGAGCCTGTGTTCTGAGAAAGCAGAGTCTCTCGGTGGTGCAACTGTTTAAACACTGGGCAACTAACCAAAAGGTTGGCAATCATTTGACTGCTAACCAGAAAGCTGGTGGTTCAAACCCACCAGCCACTCCTTGGAAGGAAGGTTGAGCAATCTACTTCCATAGTGATACTGCCTCGGAAACCCAAGCAGGAGTTGCTGTGAGTCAGATTTGACTTGATGGCAGTGAGTTTGGTTTTTGGTTTAAAGGTACCTGGGAAGGAATGCTTAGTGATCTGCTTCTGGAAGATCATAACCTTTGAAAACCGTAAGTAGTATAGGTCTAAGGGGCCTCGATAGCATGGTGGTTAAGTGTTCGGCTGCTAATGGAAAGGTAAGTATTTCAAATTACCCAGCTGCTCCATAGGAGTGAGATATGGTGGTCTGCCATGAGATTACAGCTTTGAAAACCTTATGGGACAGTCTACTGTGTCCTATAGATTCACTATCAGTTGGAATTGACTGGAGGAAAACAGGAGTACAGTAGTACAATTCTACTACTCTGCCATGCATGGGTCCTTACAAGCTATGAGCTAATAAGATATATATTCTGGTAGTGTAGTGGCTAAGGCACTTGACTGCTAACCAGAAGACTGGAGGTTAAAACCCACCAGCTACTCCTCAGAAGGAAGATGGGGCAATCTACTGCCATAGTGATACTGCCTCGGCAACCCAATGATGAGGGGTTGCTATGATGCTATGATTCGGGTCCGACTCCATGGCATATAACAACAACAACTTTGTATATATATTATACACACACACACACACATACATATATATACATATGTATGTGTATATATATATATATATATATATATGGTCTAAGAAAGGCAGAGTGTCAGGCCTCAAGGGTGATACTAATAGTATTCCTCCTCTGCCTTCTGGGTATTTACATTCTGGAGAGGAAACAATTTGTAGAAAATTTTTTTAAATGGAAAAAAAAAAAAGGAATAGTACAGTGGATGAAGAAATTAAATGTAGCAAGAGCAAAAAGGAAAGACATAGTATTTGCAGAAGTAGATTTTCAGGCCTTTATTCCTAGTCTGTCTTTGTCTAGAAGTTCTGCTGAAACCTGTTCAGCATCAAAATAACATACAAACCTCCACTGACAAATGAGTAGTCACTACACATGAGGTACATTGGCCCAGAGTTGAATCTGGTTCTTCCACTTGGAAGAACTCAGAATTCAATTACTGAACCACTACTGTAACTCTTGAAAGGGATGTTAATGGAATCATTTGGTCATTAGTCAGTAAAAAGTCTTCCATGAACAGAACCTCACCAGGCCACCTCCTAGGCCTCTGGTCTCCATTTTATGCATGAGTCTTTGGGTTCAGGAAATGACCTTTATTCCAATCAGGGATGATGGGTTAATGTCATGAAACAAAGCCACTTTTTTCAAACAGAGTTTATGGACATAACAGCTTTAGTTTCATAGCACAGTATTACATCCTGTCCAGAACAGGAGGGTTATAATTAAAACTCTATTTCATGAACATAACTGAATGTATATCATAATTTTCCTTGGTCTCAATTCCAGAAAAATGTTTTATTGTTCTTTCCTTTAGTACCTTCAAATAACTTCTCTTGGATTGCCCTTTCCTGTTCTAGATAACATCTCTGAACTATTTTTCTGTTCAGTGTAGTGTAAAGCAAAACTTTAATATCATCGTTTTTAGGATGTTGTTGTTAGGTGCCATCAAGTCAGCTCCAACTCCCAGTGACCACATGTCCAACAGAATGAAACACTGCCCAGCCCTGTGCCATCCTTGCAATCATTGCTGTGTTTGAGCCCATTGTTGCAGCCACTGTGCCAATCCATCACATCGAAAGTTTACCTCTTTTTCGCTGACATTTTCCTTTACCAACTGTGATGTTCTTCTCCAGGGACTGGTCCATCCTGTTGACATGTCTGAAGCACATGAGACAAATTCTCACCATCCTCACTTCTTAGGAGCATTCTAGCTGTCCTTTGTGAAGAAAGATTTGTTTGTTGTTCTTCTTGCAGTCCATGGTGTATTTGATATATTTCACCAACACCACCATTCAAATGCATCAATTCTTATAGGTCTTTCTGTTAATTGCTCAGCTTTTGCATGAATTTGAGGTGATTGAAAATACTATGGCTTGAGTCAGGTCCACCTTAGTCCTTAAGATGACATCTTTGCTTTTTAACACTTTAAAGAGGTCTTTTGCAGCAGATTTGCCTAATGCAGTACATCATTTGATATCTTGACTACTACTTTTATAAGCATTGTTTGCAGATCCAAGTTAAATGAAATCTTTGACAACTTCAATCTTTTCTGTTTATCACTGTGTTGCTTATTGGTTCAGTTTTGAGGATTATTTTTTTTTTAATTTTTTATGCTGACACATAATCCATAGTGAAGGCTGTAGTCACTGATCTTCATCAGTAAGTGCTTCAAGTCATTTCACTTTCAGCAAGCAATGTTGTGTCATCTGCATATCATAGGCTGTTTACTAGCCTTCCTCCAATCCTGTAGCTACATTCTTCTTCATATGGTCCAGCTTCTTGGATAATTTTCTCAGCATATAGATTGAATAAGTAAACAAATGCTGTGTACCTACAAATTAATAAGAAAAAGACATATAATCCAATAGAAAAATGAGCAAAAGATCTGAAGAGAAACTTCATAAAGAGGATATCTAAATGACTATAAACATATGAAAAGGTATTCAGCTTCATTAGACATTAGAGAAATGAAAGTCAAAACCACAATGAACCACCACCACACATTTAACAGAATGGCTAGAATTAAAGAAGATGGAAAACAGCAAATGATGGCAAGAGTGTGTGGAGCAACTGAAATTCTCATGCACTGAGTGTGAGCACAAATTAGTACTTCAGATAGCTAGTTGGAAATATCTCATAGTGGTAAATTTACACATTCCTATGACTCAGAAATTTCACTTGGAAATGTACATATATGTTCATGAAAACACATACAATAATTTTCATAGGCATACTATTTTAATAGCCCAAACTGGAAGCAACTAAGTCATCTATCAAGAGAAGAATAAATAAATAAATCATGGTATGCTCATATAGCAATGAGAATAAAAACAAAACAAAACGCAGTACACAATACCATGGATGAATATCATAAACAGTATACTGAGTGAAAGACTGGCAGAAGGATACATTCTTTAACAAGTTTATAAAGAGTTTTTCGTAAAGACTAAAACCATAAAGAGTCTCAAAGGAAAAATAGGGACACACTTAAGGACCCTAATTCAGGGCACAGATATGCTATTGAATATAACTAAAAATGCACGAACAGCAGACAACAAAATAGGTGACTGGGACCTCCCTAAAATTAGACACTTGTGGGCATCGAAATATTTCACCAAAACAGTGAAAAGAAAACCCACAGATCAGGAAAAAAAAAATTTGGCAATGACATATTGGACAAGGGGCTAATCCCTAAAATTCATAGAAATTCAACAAGAT